GAAGGGGGTGTTTCAGGGATATCTTGAGAGTCTGAGGATGAAGCGCTTAAGCAGGCAGATTTCCCCTTTGTATTGGAGGTTGAGGTAGTGGTAGTTCTGGAAGATTTTGGTTTGTAAGTTGTTGGTATGTATTTAACTGGGTCTGATGGTGATGAAACATAGGCGGGGTAGAAATGAGAAGGCCTTTCTAGTCGTTTGAAATATGTAAGAAAAGTATGAGGGTCCAAGAAAGAATTTTCAACCGGTTTGGGCTTTCTTTCATGAGAGGCTCTTAAGAAATCATCTATCTTTTTTACTTGGCTTTGTAGACTTCTGATTTCTCTTTCCTTTTGGTCAAATGTTTTACCAAAAGCTCTTTCTTCTAACATCTGCCGCAAATCCCGATCTAGCTGGGATACTTGGGCTTTCAAGCTTCTGTAATGTTTCTGCATTTTTTGGGATAAAACCTTGAGATCTTCATATGTCTCGTCTATTTTTTCAGCAATCTTATCTACCTTTTTGTCAAGGTTTTGAAGAATCTTATTTTGAGAAACCATGTTTTCAGATTGCCAATTTAGAACTTCCCCAGCCTGAGTTAAAGGTTTAAACTTCCCATCAGGCTGGACTTCACTCGGATGAATGAAGGGTTTGGATGTTCTTCCTGTGATTGGATCCATCTTTCTTTCTAAAGCAGGAAATTGTCGGTCGTACTCTGAAGTTGTGGTTGAATACATAAAGCAAGGAATTGGCTGAGCAATATCTGGAGGATGTAGCGGTTTACAATGGTCTGTTGGTGACCATGTAATAAGAGTCGGATCATCCGGAGGTAACAATCCTTCTTTCCTGAGGATTTTAAGTCCTTCCTCGTAGATACAGAGGGGTTTCTTTTTTCCATGGATTCCTACCCATAGACTATTATCTGGATCAAATCTCCTTTGAGGAGGTGGCGGGGGTTTACACCTTCCCTTTTTCTTTGTTTTGGGAAGAATGATATCTCGGTCAATATCATCGTCGTGAATCCAAAAGTCACAATCTGGGTCACATCTTGTTGGATCAACATCCCAAATGAAGTGGCCATCTATTTTATCGGTGTAGATGGGTTTTCCCTCTGTTGTAACAACATATACAAGACATCGATCTTCTTTGAGAACTGGTTGGATCATCATTGTTTGGAAGATCGGAGATATTGAGCTCGACCCTTCGTCTAACTTTTTAAAGATCGTCTTGACTGTCTTGTCAACGGATCTCCTGAAAGTAGCCTCTTGAGATTGGATAGGTCTTTTGTCAACATGAAGTTTCTCATAGTTGGTTATCCATTCAAGGGGAATTAACTGAGTTAATTCTTCCCTTGTGGTCTTTCTTGGAATCTGAACTATGGAGGGTATGTCTTATTCTCTATTGGTGATAACCAATTGTGAATCAGAAGAGCATCCTGAGATAAGAAGATCTATCGAGTGCTTTTGTAAGCGGTATATGATGGAGGGTAGCTGACATAACTTCTGGCACTTGGTCAATTCCGGTGATTTGGATCTGTACTTTCAGTCTTGTGGATAAGGTGTTATCATTAAGACTCACATTATAGTTTGAAAAGATGGTGAGGACAACACTTCCTGCATGAAGTGTAGTTAGAATAGTTCCTATCACAACATTTTCATAGTGGAGGTAGCTGGAGTCCAGTAGAGCTATTTTGCAAAAGACGAGTTGGTTCTTCCTTCCATGAATAGAAAGGATGAGTCTGACAACCCCAAAGTGCAAAGCTGTATATCCTTTAGTTTTCTAGTGGTTTATGAGATATTGGGAAATCTCCAGATCTACGTACTGCTCTTGGTTTGTAGCTCCTAGGCTGCATTGGTCTAGTTTAGATGACTGGACGTACTCTTTCATATAAGGGCGGTTTGTAGAGATAAGATTTCGGATGGATCTGGTAACACTTCTTTGTCTTTTGAAGATGTTGTACGGACTCAATAGAGGAGGTATTGTTTCAGAAATTTGAGCATCTTCAGGAACATGAGAGTACTCAATAAGGTTTTCTATTTTATGAGAATTAGTCTTTTTACAGAGTTTATGAAGTGATAAAGAAGAAGTAGTGGTAATAGGTTGAGTGTTTGGTTCAGGTGTTTCCATGTTTAAGTGATTTCTCCCTTACTCACTCTCTTTATTATATTCATACCATATGCACCCCTTTTATTCTGTTAGGCTCTGATACCACATTGTCCGGGACCGGGAGCCTTACATGCCATGAAACAAAATAAAGAAATGGAACAAATTTTTGTCATTCATAAATATTAAAAAGTATTAAAAGTATTTGTTTTTTAAAAATAAATATAAAACAAAATTTTGTCATTCATAAATATTAAAAAGTATTAAAAGTATTTGTTTTTTAATTAAAATAAATTATAAAATATAAGTGAAAGTGTTTATCATTGAACAAAATAAAATTTACTTAGGGCAAAAACTTATTATTGATTCAAATATTTGTATATATATTTAAATATATAATAATGTCAAAACAAAAATATTATTTATATATGGAAAAAATACATTGTTAATTAAATTATATATATATATATATATATATATATATATATATATATATATATATATATATATATATATATATATATATATATATATATATATATATATATATATATATATATATATATATATATATATATATATATATATATATATATATATATATATATATATATATATATATATATATATATATATATATATATATATATATACACGAAAAAAATATAATTGTTATAAATGATAATAACTTTAATTATTCTAAATATTAAATAATATAAATTTATCGATCATTTTTTAAAATATGTGAAAAGATTAATGAAAAAAAATAATACTGTTATAAATGGAACAATTTTATTATATTTTGGAAACAAATACAAATACTAACTATAAAAAACTAATTTTAATCAAATTATAACTTATCTTTTTTTTTTTTTAAATACAAAAATAAAACAATTATAAGGGGAACATAAAATTACTAATCAAAATATTGAATAATAATAGAAAAAAGTTCAGTTTGTTCTATTTTTTTGTAAATAATATCAAAATAAAAATATAATTTATATAAAAAAATTGGCAAAATATCTTTCTTGGTCCCTTATCTATACTTCGGGGTTCATTTTGGTCCCTTAACTTTAAAAAGTTCCATATTGGTCCCTTAACTCTTCAAACGTTCCATATTAGTCCTTTTTGACCTATTAACAACGGAAAAAAAATCAAAAAATCGTCGCTAAATCCGTCGCTAATAGGTCAAAAAGGACTAATATGGAACATTTGAAGAGTTAAGGGACCAATATGGAACTTTTTAAAGTTAAGGGACCAAAATGAACTCCGAGGTATAGTTAAGGGACCAAGAAGGATATTTTGCCTTAAAAATTTATATGATTAATTAAAATATATTTATATATGGAAATAATTATAGGCACTAATTTATTATTATTTTTTAAATAATAACTTTTTTAGTTGAATAATTTCATTTTTTATTTAATTTTTATTATATTTTAGAAAAAATGCGCGTACCATATCAGGTACCCGTGCGAACTCATAAGTATTCCGCTAGTTTACCGTAATAATCACATTAAATAAGTTTAATAAAAAAGACATTATATTAAATTTAATTAATATTTTGTACAAACTCTAACAAATTAACTACATTTAATTAGATTTTTAATCAGTGTAAAAATAATTTTTTATTATAATAGTAATAGAAGGGTGTATTAGTTTCTTAATATTATTAGTGGATTACGATTTAATTAATTATAAATCAATAATTGTGTTATTATTTTTACATGAAATTAGGAAAATTAAATATACTTAATTACTCTCTTTAATCCTATTTATAAGAAAAAAAATTACCTTTTTATTGATTGAATAAGTAATGTATCTGGACAAAATATAGATCAAATATATTAATTATTAATTATTGAATGAGTTTAAAAAGTAAATTTTTTTATTATAAATAAAATTAGAAGTAGTATCATTTTTAGTAAATGTGAAAGTTATTATTTTATTTTTTTGGTTTACAGGATACTAATATTCATTTTCTCTCTCATATAAAACATAATATACTTAACTTCTCTCTCATGCATATTAATATTAATGTAATTAATAATTCTTAAGTAGTGCTTCAATATTGTCCTAAAACAAATAATCTCTCATTTTGGGTGTATTCTAATGATTCATTTTAATTATCATTAATATAAAAAAAATGTTAACTTGCGCTTCCGAGATAATGGTTAAAAAATTAAAAAAAATAAATTGATTATTTTTTAAAAGATTAAAAATATTTGTATTCAATGTACTCAAAACATAAATTATGAACTTTTTAATTTTTTTTGTGTATATTCAATAAATAAAATTTATATTATTTTTCTTATTTAAAATTTTTAACCAGTGTCGTTAACATTACCGTTGATATAAATAGAGAAATATCAAAACCCTCGTTAACATGACCGTTAATATAAATAAAATAATAATAAATTAATAGTATTTAATTAGATGATAGTTATTTAAAACTATAAGAAGTATATATAATGCATGTGTAGTATTAAATATAAAAATAACATAAGTTTTTAATATATTCATCTAAGCCACACAAAACAAATGACACAACGAATGAATGAAGGTTATTGAAAAAACGTCATAAAAACACTTAAATGTTTCCTATTGAACCCCATATCCCATAACATATATACCCTATCTCGTTCATTTCACATCACACTCACCTCATTGGTGTGGAACCTTTTCTTATCTCATCTCACCTTCCCCACTCTTGTTTCTACTTCCATTTCCCTTCTCTTCAATTTCCCACAACAACCAAAACTAAAACATTCACTAACGTCACACTTCAAACTTCAAAGTCCAAACCCTTTCAACTCAAATCTCAACACACCCACACTATATATAAACAGATTACAACAAGAAAAAAAAGTCACTTCTTAAACACAAAATCAAAATCCACACACAAAAACCCATAAACAAACATGAGTGCTGTGAATCTTAACACATGGACACACTCCAATTTCATGTTCAATCAAGTTACTGCTACCAGATTCAGATCCAGATCCATATCCACATCTTTCTATTTTACCAAAATACCCTCCACCATTAAACCACAAACCCATGGACACTCTCCCATTTCTGTTTCAGCTTTGCTCACTAAACAAGAAACAATTGAAGCCGAAGAGAAACCGGTTTTCGATTTCAAATCTTACATGATTGAGAAAGCAACTAGGGTTAACAAAGCCCTAGACGACGCCGTTTCGTTACGCGAGCCGTTAAAAGTTCATGACGCTATGCGATACTCTCTCCTCGCCGGCGGGAAGCGCGTCCGCCCCGTCCTCTGTTTAGCCGCTTGCGACCTCGTCGGAGGTACCGAATCCATGTCGATGCCGGCCGCGTGCGCCGTGGAAATGATTCACACTATGTCGCTCATCCACGACGACCTTCCGTGTATGGATAACGACGATCTCCGGCGAGGAAAACCGACGAATCACAAAGTCTACGGAGAAGATGTCGCGGTTCTCGCCGGAGATGCGTTACTCGCTTTTGCCTTCGAGCATATCGCGGTGTCTACCTCCGGCGTTACTCCGGCGAGAATTGTCCGTGCAATCGGGGAGCTGGCGAAGTCAATCGGCTCCGAAGGTCTCGTCGCCGGTCAAGTTGTTGATATAAATTCCGAAGGTTTATCAGACGTGGGAATAGAGAGGCTCGAGTTCATTCACCTTCATAAAACCGCTGCTTTGCTAGAAGGTTCCGTTGTTCTCGGTGCGATTCTTGGCGGTGGTTGCGATGAAGATGTTGAAAAACTGAGAAAATTTGCTAGATATATAGGTTTATTGTTTCAGGTTGTTGATGATATTCTTGATGTGACGAAATCTTCACAGGAATTAGGGAAAACTGCTGGGAAAGATTTGGTAGCTGATAAGGTTACTTATCCGAAGCTTTTAGGGATTGAAAAATCTAAAGAATTTGCTGAAAAATTGAACCGTGATGCACAGGATCAACTTTCTGGGTTTGATTCGTATAAGTCTGCTCCTTTGATTGCTTTGGCTAATTACATTGCGTATAGGCAAAACTAAGCCTTTTTTATTTTTTGTGATATTGAATTAAACAGTTTAAGAATTTTAGATATCAAAACATTTGCAATTGGGGAATGTATAAAATAATTGAATTGTCCCATTTTTATCTCTCTCTTGGTGCCTTTGTCTTATTTTTGTTAATTATATCAATGGTTCAAAGCTCAAACTATGGTGGATCTGGTGACAATGTTTTTTGGAGTTTCGCTCACATACTTGTTTTTGTCAAATATAAGGCACAATTGGCTATTAGTGTTACCTCTTTTTTTTGATATAAAAAAGGAGAGGATCCATTTTCTGAAGTACACAAATTTAATGGCTTAGTTACTTGTCAAGCCTTTTATCTCGGTTAAACTCAAGATTTATTGTACTATTAAATGCTTAAGGAGGTGAATTTATACTTTTCACCCATTTCTTTCTAACCTATGAATCAATCGTAGACTGACTTTTCCTCAATCATTACCAAAATGTGTATATAGAAATAAAAGATTAGGTTTATAAGAAATTTTAGGTATTTTATCCTTTCATTGGTTTCAAAATAGAAATAAAAGAGTTAGGTTTATAAGAAATTTTAGGTATTTTATCCTTTCATTTGTCTTAAATTATAAGTTATTTTATATTTTTAATGCAATTTTTTATAATTTGGGACGTCTTATAATTTAGAAATGAGGTACTAATTAAAAAATTGTAATGATTGTTGTACGGGAAAAGAAAATGATCTATATCTTTATAAAAATATCTTTTATTAATGTTGTATTAAAATTCTAAAATTATTTATAATTGGTGACAAATATTTTTTACAAAATGATTTACAATTTAGGTAGTACCCTATTATTATTCTGATCATCTGTATCTATTAAATACCAATATCCTCTTAAGTAAGCATCCCCTTAAGTACTGCAATCATAGGGAAGATTCAGTACCATTCATCCATGGTGCCTTTGTGTTAATGATTCTTTTAAACTTTCTCTCTCTTATTTTAATATCTTTTTAAGGTTTAATAGCATTTTTGCTCTGTGTCATATAGACGAATTTTTATTATTTTTTTAAAATCAATCTTGCTATTTGAAAATTCCATTTATTTAAATCTTTTAGTGAGAAGATTCACTCAGATATTATATGGCGTGCTGAGTTGAAATTGACCCATTATTTTTATTTTTTTTCAATGACACCTTAAAGTCATGTCACAAATAAGTATACATTTTAATTTTAAATTGAGACATTTTGTAAAATTCAATTTCGTCCTTCACTTTTGCCCTAACAGATAAACTTTGAGAAACTCCATTGAAGAGAGAAAGAGAAAAGAGTTCTAAGTCATGTCACACAAAAAATACATTTTGATTTTAAAACGAGACATTTTGTAAAATTCAATTTTGCCCTTCACTTTTGTCCTAACTGGTAAATTTTGAGAAACACCATTGAAGAGAGAAAGAGACCTTGGTGAGAAACGTTGTTGTGTGTTGGAGAAGAACTTGGTGAGAAACTCCATTAAAATGAGACCTGAGGTGTTGAAATTGGTTCTTGACTAGGGATATGCAAGAAACAAGTTCAGGGTATGGAGCAAACTTGAAGGTATAGATGATTGTTATTTTGAAAATAACAAGGATGATCGTGTTGTGGATGTTGCGAGTTATGCTCTTGGAAACTCCATTGAAGTAGTTGAGCCCCAATGCACTCATCTGACTGAAGGGAATGAATCAAGTGATGGAGAAGCTGAAATAGATGAAAGTGATGATGATGCAAGGAAGATTAGGTTTGATGATGGTGAGGATGAGAGAACTGTTGCATTAAATGATGGATTTGACTGCATTGAAGTTGACATACCAAAGAATGGTTCAAATAGAGTTGAAATAAATGATAAGTAATATAGGATTAAGATGTGTGACAATAAGTCACCTATGAAGAAAAAAATAAGCCCAAATAATAAGAAGTTGATTGTGATTGCACTTGTCAGGGTAGTCAAAGATTAAAAAACTAAGGAGTCTCAAAGAATGGATGATGTGGAAGATCAATACTTAAGTGATGAATTGGGAGGCTTAGAACCGAATGTTTCTGAAGATGAAAAATTTCCTAAGTACGAAAAGTTTAGAAAGGAATTGTTAGGTAAAGACTACGAATTTAAGTTGGGTGTGGAATTTAATTCCTTAAGTGATTTCAAGGATGCAATAATAAAGTGGTTAATGTTAAATGAAAGGGAAATTACTTTTGTCAAGAATGAAAGTTAAGAGTAAGGGTAGAATGTAAGGGTAAATGTGGATTTTTGGCTCGATGTTCTAAAGTGGGTGGCAGTCTTACTTTTCAAATAAAAACACAGGTGGGCACGCACACTTGTGCTAGGGTTTTAAACAACATAACTGCCAAATCCAAGTGGGTAACAAGATGCAAACATGTGGGAAAGTTAGAATTGTTGATATCATTCAAGACATGGGGAAGAATTACTCAATTGTGATTACACTAAGTAGGGCATAGAAGGTAAAGGAAATAATAAAAGGAATAGTTAAAGGAGATACAACTAGAGAATAAGCATTGATTTGGAGGTATGTAGCTGAGTTAAAAAGAGTATGTGTTGGGAATACTCCTAAGATTAATGTTCAACCTAATCTTTCAATTCAACCAAGATTTAGGTCTTTCTAATTTTGCCTTGATGGATGCATGAAAGGTTTCACCAAAGGATGTAGACCATTTTGTAGGTGTTGATGGTTGTCACTTGAAGATATGTTTGAAAGCATTGAACATAGGGTGTGTTTAAGACGCCTATAAGCCAACTTCAAAAAGGAATTTGGTGAAGGTATTTTAATTAGAGATTTGATGATAAGAGTTGTCAATACCGTATATTACTAAGCATGGCAAGAAAAAAAATGCTTGAGCTCAAGAATATTGATACAAAGGCATGGGAGCGGTTGATACATGTTCTAACAAAGACTTAGTGTAAACATGCTACTTCCTAAAGACATGTCAGTTCATCCATGTGTTTAACTACTCACTAGACCATGTTTCTTATTGCTGGCATTTTCCTTTATTTTGTACTAGTTGTTTTCCTTCAAATTATGTTTGTACCTTCGTAATTAATGAAATGAGAATCACAACTTTTGGATTCAATTCGTTTATGTTTGCTATTTACATCTTTATGCTTTCTCTTTCAACAAAAAAAAAATCTTTTGTCCACTTTCTTTTGATTATGCAAAAATTAGAGGGAGGATAACGAAAATGTTATACCCATAACTTCTGTTGGTATGCTTTCAAATCAAAACTTTGTTGAATATGTAAGGCATTATTTCAATTCCCAAACACCGGAGACATAAGGAAGATAATCCCTCGTTAACCCCTTCGAGCCTAGAAGTTGGAGTTTCTTCTTTTACAAAAAAACCCACAATCTTAACCTCACGATGGGTAGTTCTTAGTTAACTTTGTTGTGCGTTCATGAAAGACACCTTTCATATAAAGTATGCATTCACAAATTTCCTTCATACAACAAACAAGTGCCAAAGATATTTTTTTCAAGCCAAAAAGCCAATGATGGTTCACCGTAATCATTAAGCCAAGCGGTCACTTTCTTTTAAAAAATAAAATAAAAAGTAAAAAAACCCGCTAAGCCAAAATCTATGAAGGAGACTTAGGCAAAACTGGGGCATCCCACTGACTATAAGCTTCAAAAGAAACAGACCAGACAAAAGTTAGGGATAATAAAAGAGGAAATCTTCTAATCCCTGCCGTTAAAGCCTTCAAGAAAAAATAACAACTCAATGTTGTAAGGAAGGAGAGACTGCCATCTCAAGAGACCCTTGACTTTTGAACCATCATCATTACTACCATCAGTGCAATTTCCAACCTTCGGGAACCTGAGTGCATAATTTAAGTTAATTGAGTGTAGGACTGAAGATTATCATGAAGATTGGGTGGGTATAAATGAATTTTGAGACTTTATCCTTTGTTTCTTAAACCGTGAACTAGGCCACGTTACAAACCTCAAAATACCTAACTGAAGCAAGGTTATTTTGAAAGCATACTATAGCAAGGTTGCATAAGCTGACTCCAAAAGATCTTTGTAGATCATGTTATTTTGGCACCACACATGTGCTTACCTTTCACTTTTAAATGTCTTGACTCGTCGTGTTTTGACCAATGACTCATTTGCTTTACATCTTTCAAAAGAATGATTTTGATTTCAAAAGTTACATGAACTCTGCATTTACCATGTTTGTACGAATACTTTTGTTTGGAAACTGGCTTCCCTCTCAAGGAATTTTCGAATAGTTGAGAAACTTGGTCAGTGATCCTATCAAGGGAAAGTTCTTTCTAGATCCTGTCGAGAATCAGTTTAAGATTTGTAGTTCAGTGCAAGTGCTTCTCAGAATTGGTTTATACAGAAGATTTTTCAAGGCTCAAACTGGCGCAAGCTTTCCAAGAGCATAATGAAACAATCATTTACAACATCAATCCAGCTGAAGCAATAACCATCTCATCTACAACAGTCAGCTAATTTGGGACAATTTACTTGAAGAATCCCCAAGCAACTCTTCATCCTTCCTACAAGGATCAACAACTTGATATAATTTACTAGTGTGGCAGAGATGTGTTCAGCTGTAACATCCTTAGTCCCCAAGCAAATGACAGTGATCTCCGTGTTGAGAAATCAGTCTTCCAATCTTGTCTTCTCACCAAAAAAGTCGAGTCATGTCATCAGCATATGCATTTGCGTTTGATCATATATCATAGCAAAATTCATATACATATGAATAGAAAGAGTGTTTTATCCTCATTTGCATTCACCAGAGGTCATGTTGTTGTTCACATCTTACCTTGTGGTCAAAGTCCAACTTATTTGGCACCTACCAAACAGATACTATCGTGTTTATATGATGTTTTTCCAGATATTTCCATTATGATTTTGACGCTTTTCCAAAATCTATTCTAGGTTTTACCGAATATGCTCGTCTTTTTGATGTTTTACCATATCGTGTCTTTTGTTCTGATGTTCTTCCAGAACCTATCTGATGTTTTTC